ACTTCTGTTCAGAATTTCACACAAACTGTTATCTTTATTCAGTTTTAATCTGTCAAATCTAAGCAGTTGGAAAACACCTATTCTTCAGCGGGCCAAGATCCCCTATAAAGAAAGTGTCCCTTCTTTGACTTTCTAGAAGCTGAGGATAGAAGGGAGAGGTACCCAGCCTCACTTCATCTATTCATTATCTCCCCGGTTCCCAGTCACCAAAGTTCCTGCTGGATTCTCTGGGCAATGTCCTCCAGGATACTAGATCTTCCCAGAAATTAGGAGGCAGAAAACAAGGCCAAGTATTAAGAACTTGGATGTAGCTCAGTGGCAGGTGCATGCTTAATATGCCAGAGGCCCTGGGTTGATCCCTAGCACCAAAACAAGAAGGAAGAAATAACATTTGTGCTGGTTTACAGGTATGTTATTTAACTCAAGAAACCACAGCTTACAGGGCCGGGGATATAGCTCAGTGGCATAAGCGCCTGCCTGGCAAGTGCAAGGTCCTGAGTTCGATTCCTGGTATCAAAAATAAAAAAAAAGAAACCACAGCTTACAAAAGAATGAGGCACATTTGTATGATGTACAGACTGAGCTTACCTCTAAATTTCATCAAATAGGGGCTGGGGATTTAGCTCAGCGGCAAAGTGCCTGCCTGGCAAGCGCAAGGTCGTGAGTTCAGTTCCCGGTACCGGAGAAAAACCAAAAAAAAAAATAGTAATCTGATGGATTTTACAAAGCCTATGTGTAAATATATCCATGCTGATTCCCCTCTGTTTTCCCCCGAATTTCTGTCTCCTGAGGCCCTGATGGTTTATCCCTGGACTCACAGCACCTTGCGGGAAGTAATCTCAATCCTAGTTTTCACCTCTGAGGCCCATTTCTATCCAGGTGGCAGAGACCTGGAGCCTCATTGCAGTCACTCCCTATGTGGTTGTTTCTCCTCAAGGTGATCTTCCATTCTCCACTTGGAGCAGCCCTGCTCCCCTTTCAAGTCCCTGCTCAAATCACCCCCAAATTCCAGTTTCACTGAACTAAAACTTTTGTTCCATAGACCATAAACATTGACTTGGCACTTACTAAAAGGACTTGCAATTACAAACATGTATCTTCTTCAGCTCAGAAGCAGCTCAGGAAAACCTGGACCATTATCCGGAATATAGCCATCAAAAAAAAAAAAAGATTCAGTCTCTAAGACTCCATGGAAGAATAGAATCCTAACTTTGATACCATTACCAGTTGTTACAGTTTAGATCTAAACTGTCCACCAAGGTTCTCATGTGTTCAGAGGTGGTGCTGTGGGTAGGTGATTGGATCACGGAGTGCTGTACTTATCAGTGGATTAATCCACTAAGGAAGTAATAACTGAATGGTCTATTAGGAAGTAGGGCCTGGTTGGAGAAGGCTGATCACTGGATGATCTAGAAGGGTGTACTCTTATTCCCAGCTCCCCTCTCTCCCTCTCTTTCTCTCTTTCCTTCCTGCCTCTCATTTTCTGGCTGCCATGGGTTGAGCATCTCCCCTCATCCCTGCCGTGCCTTTCTACCATGCTGTTTCTTCTATTCTCTTTTTTTCTTTCTTGTTTTTTTTCTGGTACCAGGAATTGAACTCATGACCTTGTGCTTGCCAGGCAGGCGCTGTGCCACTGAGCTAAATCCCTAACCCTCAACCATGCTGTTTCTGCTGAGAGCCAACTGACCATATACTGACTGAACTCTCAGAAACCATAAACCATATAATCATCTGCTTTAATTTACAGGTGTTGGGTATTTTGTCCCAGAAGCAAGAAAGTGACTAGCATACAAGTCAACAAACACAACTGGCTTAGTCTCAATTATACTAACAAACCTTTGTACTATTTAATTCTTCCTATGCTCCAGCCTTCACGCTCCCCCTTAGTTACTTAAATTTATTTGGCTTTAAAAATCACCAATTCTGGAGGTCATGCAGCTGAGCTATATATTATTAGTTTCCCACCAGTGTTGCTATAGATAACTGTGATATTTTGGCTTTGATGATAACCAAAGTTTCCTTTTAGGGACTCAAAGGCTATTTTTGTTGAAACTACTGCTCTCCACTTGGGCCTATGCAGATATCCAATAAATAATGTTCTGATGTCAGAAGGCTGACCTGAGAGCATGCTAATGACACCTTTTTCTGAACATGAAGGCATGAACGAGAGGCATGAAGTTGGATAATACATGCGCAGATCACTGATGATTTCCCCTACAATGACTTTTCCCCATACTTCACACTACTCTGCTTCTTTGGGATGTTTCATTGGTTGATTGGTTAGCTGATTTCAGATAGCATCTCAATATGTAGTCCAGGCTTGTCCCGAACTCATTATGTATCCCAGGTTGATCTGAAATTCATGATCCTCCTGCCATATCCTCCCAAGTATTGGGATTATAAGAATATGCCACCATGCTTGGCTTTGATTCTTTATCCTATAAATATCCCCAAATCCTATTTTGGGAAAGCAGAGTTGAGACATGGGGTCTCACTTCCATGCTTTGCCACCCTATGGATAAACTTGTTTGCAAAACTCATTTATGTGATTGTTTCACTTGGTGAGCAAATCAGTCCGGGTTGCTGAAAAGGACTGCTGTGAAAACTGAGCCCATGGAGATCAAGCTCTGGGCACAAGCCTGATACAGACTGGGTACCTGATTCAAAACACTTCTGATTGTCACTGTCATCCCCTGGCTCCCTGCCCCCTCAAGAATCTATCCTTTCCCCCAAATCCCTTCCCATGTAAGAAGACTTACATGGTTAATGGCAACACTCACTCCTTCCTCTACTGAATCTCAAACTCCTGGAGGGCAATGACCTTGTCTGGTGTCATGGTTTGTGTGTAGATGTCCCCCCAAAGCCTCACACAGTCATAGATAGGGCTTTTCAGAGGTGGCTGGATCTACAGAGTGTAATGCTGGGATCAAGAATGTGTAATTACTACACTAGTCCATTGCTTGGTAGGCACAGTTCTGGGTAAGATTAAGAGTGCCCCACCCTGGGTGTGATAAAATATAAGGGACAAAAAAAAAGGCTAATGCTGTTGCTTGTTGCTTTTTGCTTACAGCTTCTTACCGCCATCTGCTTTGCTGTCCTCTGCCCACCATGAACTATTTCTCTTCTGTGATGCTCTGCCATGCCATGCCCTGCCTCTTCTGCCATGCCAGTCTGTCTTGGAGCCAGGCAATTATGGACTGAAATAGTCCTATAGAAATTGTGAGCTACAATAAACCTTCCCTTCCTTAACTTTGAGTGTCAGGTATTTTATCTCAGCAATGAGAAAAGTAACTAAGACATCTGGCTACTCTTCAGAGCATTCCTGGCTCTGGGCCTTAAATTTAGTGGGTTTTGTGTGTATTAGTCAATAAATCCTCCTTTGTCCCAGGTTCCAGAGGCAGCCATTTCATGCATGGTTATGACATTTTGAGAAATTAAAATTCATTTCATAATGTAACTATAGAGCCACCAATATCACTAGTAATGTTTACTTCAGAACAGTGCCCTTGGCCTGGACAAGCAGGGAAAATGTTCCAGAGCCCTACTGAGTAAGTCATTGTTGCCTGTAGGGATTGCTTCCCATGGAAGGGGACTGTCAGCTGGTGTGGGCTGTCCCAGCCTGTCCCTGAGGACAGTTGTGTTTCATTCATCCTACTGCCAAGTGTCTCAATAAATATGTTTGGATAAATGAATGAATACCTTTGAAGTCACATAAAACTGGAAGTGCTATTGGGGACAAAAACCTCAGAATAACTTTCCCCCTGGATCTATCTCTCTCCTGACTGAGGACAGCAGGCTCCCATGAAGGAGAGTTCTGGAACATGCACAGGGCCCAGACAGGGTCCTCATTCACTTGCACCTCCAAGCCACGGAACACACCCTTTCCTTCCTGCAGGAAAGCCCTGCCCTTGTCTACCAGCTGATGCTCTCCTTTGTCCAAGACCCCTCTTATTTATAACACTTTCTCCAACAGCTCTTCCTGCCATGGACAGGTCTGGGGCAGGTCCTTAAGCGTTTTTCTGGGTCTTCACTGGCCATGTTCACAAGTTCAAGGTAGTCTGAGGGCAAGCAGAAGGAAGCAACAGATAAGCTTGGTTTCTGTATGTCAGTAATTAGATCTGCACCAATGGGGGAAATCTGCATACTAGGTCAAAACATTCCCCAAAAGGGCCTTGCCTCTCTGGTATGACAGGGTGCAGAACACAGTCTGGGGCACTTAAGAGGAAGCGGGACAGTTGGCACAGGGGAGAACAAAGGATAGGATTCTAAAAGCCCGAAGTCCTGCAAACAAAGCTAGGGACAGCCTCGATGCCTGGGTGCCTCTGAGTAACACCCAGATCCATGAAGGAGCATAGCGGGGCAGGCTTATCCAGGGGCTGCGCAGAAAGCGCGTACTTCCAGAGACTGAAGAATCTGAGTACAACTCCCATCCCCTCGACCACTTGCAAGCATGTCAGTTTTGCCTGCTAAACGATCTCTGAGGCAGCTAGAAGTAGATTCCTACTCCGCTTTGCTGGGAGATGTGAGCAGCTCAGAGAGCTGGGATCCCTAGGAACACATCCCAGGCCTCTGGTCCTTCCTGAGGACGTCGACCTTGCGCTTGCCAGGCAGGCGCTTTTGCCGCTGAGCTAAATCCCCAGCCCCCCTTGGCTAGTGTTAGACCTGGTCCAGCTCAGCCTCTGCGAAGTATTTACGAAATGAGCTAATACCCATGCTGCATCTTCACTGTTTCGCCCCACCAGTTCCTTTTACAAACAGGGAAGCCCGAGTCTTAGGGTACAGCTCCATCGCAGAGAGCTTGCCTACCATGCGTGAAGCCCTGGGTTCAATCCCCAGCACCGTAAAGAAGAAAAATGGGGGGTAGGAAGAGGATGCAGGGAATGGGCGGCTGGAGCTACCCAGCTGAGAACAGCCGGCGGGTACCAGGGTAGGACCGCCGACCGTCGGCACCAAGACTTGGAAGCATTCCCGGGCGCGGGGAGGGGCGAACGACGCGGGGCGGGGCCGCGCGGGTCACGTGGTGCCCGGCCCGGAAGCGCTCGCGCTGGAGACCCTCGGGTGACCGGGCGGATGCTGCAGACTCCTGCGGGCTCCCGCGTTCCCCACCATGGCCTGGACCAAGTACCAACTGTTCCTGGCCGGGCTCATGCTTGTCACCGGCTCCATCAACACGCTTTCGGCAAAGTGAGTCGGGGCCTGGCCGGGAGGGGGCCTGCTGGGGCAGCGGGCGCTGGCTACTCGCGCGCTGTCCTTCCTGCGCCCTGCTTTCTGGCCTCCGTGCTCCAGCAGTGGCAGGCGGCTCGCGCTGTGTGTGGACCACCCAAGGGCCGCGAGGCCAGGGTGACTCGGAGCCGGGCCGCGCCCCGGGCTGGGGAATCCGAGCTCCCTCGCTGAGTCGGCCTTATTCCACAGCCGGACTTCGCGCCTCCGGTTCCTCATCTCTGAGCCAGAGGGTTGGAGCAGTTCCTGTCTGGAGGCCGGCGGGCGCTGGGGGCCCGCGGAGAAGGCTCCAGGATTCGGCACCCGAGCTAGCTGGAGTGGCCATGCAGGCCGAGTGCCCGTGCGAGCGCAAGCAGAGGCAGCAGAGACGAGGCTGCCTTCAGGCCACTTATGAGGGAGAGGGGAGCTGCCTCTGCCGCCTGGGTGAGGATCTGTAGAAGGCGCAGATTTGCAGGCAGGGAGGGAAGGCTAGCGCAAAGCCACCGTAACCAGTCCCAAATGTCTGGCTGGATTTTATCCCATTTTGAGAGGGAGTGTTGATCTGGGAAATGACATGCTGAAAGTCTGATTGGAAAAAAGAAAGAAGCAGTATGGGCAGGGCATTGGGGTAGGGAAAACCACTCTGGCTGCTGCTAGCAAATGAAGGCAGCTAGGAAGAGGGAATGAGGCAGGAGAGAAAGGGCCAGATGGGAAGGTGGGGTTTCTGCCTTGGGGAAAAGAAATGTCCTTAACCCAACCAAGAGCGCAGGTGGGCAGTTCAGCTTTGGTGCAATGGAAAAACAGTAGAGACAGTCCCCAGGAGGTGAGGACGGAGGACCCAGGGCAGCCTGAGGCCAAGAGACTTGAGTGTTGCCTCCTGTCTGTTCAAGAAGGCGGACTTTTTCCTGGCAGTTCTTTGCCTTTCTCTGTCCCCACCTCAGGGTGGGGCCCATCTGCTGTTCACCATCTAAAAGCCCCAGTGCCTAGAGCCTGGTCTTTATCAGAACTGATTTCAGGGTGCACATGGGGAAGGTTGGACAATGGTCTGGTTGGACAATGGTTCTCGCCCAGTCAGGCCTCACCTCCACCTGGCCCCTGCCTGCTCCAGAGCCAGTAGGTGGGTGTGCTGACTCCCAGTGGAGGCTTCCCCACTCTCTGGGCTGTCCTTCAGGTCTGCAGGGTTTTCTGGGAGGCTCGTGTGGATCGGTGGTAGAAGGCTTGCCTAGCATGCCCAAGGCCATGGATTTCATCTCTAGTCCTCCTAAGAGAGAATCTATGAGCCTCTTGAGGGGTGTGGCAATTTCTTATTCATTTTTGAGCCATTTGTATCTAGCAGTCCTGTCAGTGATATGAAAGGCGCTTTAGAGGAGAAATACTCAATTCACCAGACGTGTATAAGATACCTACAGAGTGAGAGGAAAGGAACCAAGAAAAGGTCTTTGATTTTGAGATGCTTACCCAGTCTGAGGTAGACACATGGCAGTCAGAGTGTCCCTCCTTCCCCTAAAGGAGGGCACAGTCCATGGAGCTCTGGATGGGGTCCATCCCTCTCTCTGATGAGCTGTATTCACCTATGATCAGGTGTGTCCTGTGGATGGCTGCTGGCCTCCCAGCAGGACCTGAACACAGCACAAGTCTTTCATCCAACTGTCATATCAGCCAGAGCCTCGGTCAAATAATTGGAGCATAGCTATAAGTCTTCCAGTGTTGCTGTCCCCAAGGAGAATCTGAATAGCTATTTACTATGGGGATAAACTGTACTGAGTCAGCTCCTTCCTTCAAAAGCTCAAACCCGTCAGGTAGGAAGCCAGGGGCCCTTCGGAGGTATCACTCTTAGAAGCTGCCTGATAATCAGGAAACAAGCTCCCAGGTGAGAGACCCAGCGTTTGGTCCTATCGCCGGCCCTGTGCCCTGCCCTGTAACCTCTCAGGAGCTTCCCATCCTTAAACAAGCCCCAGAGTTGGACCCTAAGCAGTAGTTTAAATCCAAACTGTGAAGAGGATGCTCTTAGACAAAAAGAATGAAAGAGAGCAGTATAACATCTTGATGTGAATTAGGAATTGAAAATCATGTTTCTGACCTGCAGTTTCCATCAGGTACAGAGCTGGGGATATAGCTCAGTGACACAGCATCTGTCTGGCAAGCATGAGGTCATGAGTTCAATTCCCAGTACCAAAAAAAAATCTCTCCATCAGGTGCAGAAAGACGGGCCTGTGATCATAATCAGCATGGTCAGCCAGTTCAGAGGGATACCTAGACCTACCAAATGCCTGGCCCTGCTCTGGGCACCTTTCGTGTAAACTCAGTGAACTCTTATAACCACACTCTTAAAACTCATTATCTCTGAATAAAAAAACTGATGTGTGGTATGGTAAAGTTACGAAATCCAACTCACCTACCAGCTGGCAGAATCTCTATTTGACTCCATGTGATCTGGCTCAAGAATCTGCTCTCTTAACCACCAGTGGGGGTAACAGGTCATTTAGGGGTGCTTAGAATGTTAGAAACACAGATCATCCAGTCTCATCCCCCAATTTACAGAGGAGGCCCCAAGGAAAAGTTTCTGAGTTGGCTGATCAGTGAGGACCTTGCTGAGACAAAATACTTGACACCCAAAATTAAGGAAGGAAACGTTTATTTAGCTCACAGTTTGTGGTTTCAGTCCACAGTCAGCTGGCTCCAAGGCAGGGTGGCATTGCACAGGGGCAAGGGAGTAGAAGACAGCAAAAGCAGCAAGAGCAAAAGAGGAGAACAAACCTCTTTTCCTCCCCTGTATTGTAAGCAGGCCACACACACACACCTAGGCAGTTGTAGCACTCACATCATCTCCTGTTCACACACACACACACACACACACACACACAGAGAGAGGCAAGTGTAGCACTCACACCATCTCCTCTTGTTGCAAGAGATGAGGATGTTTATAAAGTATGGATCTTGGTTCCCTGCTGAGTTAAACTTCTAAACTTCTCAAATTGACACAGTATATTAACTATTACAGTGAGCACCGGGGCCTTAGGAGTTTAGTCCTGTGCTGTTAAGACCCCAAAATCCTGCCTCCTTGGGCTTTTCTCTCTTTCCTTCCCAAGAACAGCAAGCTTGTGTCTGAGGGTGTCCTCCTGAGACTGGGCAGAAAGCCTCTGCTCACACCAGGAGCCCTGTCATCATGCTGCCTCACTTCCCTCTGGAACCAGATTGAGTACTTGGCCTGTGAAAGAAGCATGATGCTTCTGGCTTCTCAGAAGACTCAGGGCAGTGGATGAGGAAGTGCATATGAGTTGTGCTGGAATCCTAAGTCAGCTCTTCTCCACCTATTCAGCAGCTTTTGGAAGGCTACAAGGAGACATCACATGCCCCTGGCAGGAAAAAGCACCAGTCAGGCTAGCCCTTCACCCCTCCCTGGGAAGTGGCTGCTTCTCCTTTCCCTGGCTGTGTTCTCACCCCTCCCCAGCACCTTCTGTTGATTGTCCCCGTGAGATCTATTTCTGCCTTCCTGGACCAGTGCCCATTTCAGAGCTGGTTCTCCCGAACCTTTAGGTACTGCATCTTAAGAACCAAGGCCAAGATGAGATGAGAGCCTCATGGTCAGGAATCCTCTCCTAAGGCCCAGCCCCCTCCCCAGCTTCTGCAAGGCTGTAGCACCCACCCAGCCAGGGTGGGCAAATGGGCCCGACTTCTCTTTATACCTGGACCTGCAATCTTGCCTGGTACCACCAGGCAAGATTGTCCTTTCCTGTCAGTACCAACTTTTGCCCTTGGTATGTGTCCCCACCCTTGGGTTCCAAAACTGGCTGGACAGTTGCTTCAAAGGAGCTGCAGGGCCAGTTTGGGGAAGTCTGCAATCCGGAGGGCAGTGTAGTAGAAAGAGCACGAGGCATGGAAGCTATGGGATGAGATGAGTCATTGGCCTCCCAAGCCCTAGTCTCTTCATGTCTGTGAAATAGACATAGTCCCCGCCCTACCTTTTTTCTGGACAGCGTGAAACTGAGGAAAGCTTTCTCATCCTTGGAGGTGAGAGGGCTCAGTGTCACGTATCCTCTCATAAGCCAGGGCCACCTGCTCACAAGTCTCAGGCTCCCATAGCAGTGGAGAAGCCCCAGTCCTTTAGATCCCTTTTCCCTAGATACCTAAGCAGGAGGAGCCTGACTCTCCAGAATTGACAAGCTGGGGATGCAACAGGAAACAGCAGAGATTCTATGGGAATGGACGTTCAGCTGATTGGCCTGAGCCAGCCACATCAGCCCTTTCCTGAGTCTGCCTGCCACCCTAGCCACACATGGGCACATAATATCCAGAATGCTGTGCTAAGTGTCAGGAGGGCCTGCCAGGAAGTGACTCCCTGCTCAGCAAGGGCACCCCCCTCCCCAGCCTGCATGCCCACACTCAGGGAACCCTAGAATGAGCAGGCCTTGGCCAGCAGAGGTGCTTCCTCGTGGGTCTCAGCCTGCCCCCCAGAATACAGTGTCTGTAGAGAAACAAGGCCCATCTATCTACACAGCTGACCCCTCACCCCGACAAGGGAGCAAGAAGAGTCTGGAGTAAGAATGAACAGCATAGGAGAACTTAAGTCTAGGGGAGGAGCGCAGAACCAGATGGGCCCATTCCAGGTGCCAGCCTTGGGAATTACCCATGTTGCAGTACCTAAGGAGCTCTGCGTCCCTCAAGCCTTTTCTGGCCCTGGGTTTCTCTTCTATCAAAGTAGCAGTTTCATGAGATGATGGCTGAGTTTCTTCTACTTCCACATTTTGTGGTCCTGTGGAAGTACAGGGGCAGTGGCCTGAGCCCCTCCAGCTGCCTAGGCCTCAGCCGGCTGAGCCAGAGCCTGACTCCTGGCCCCAGGGACCTGTAGGTCTGAGCTGCTCCTCTTGGGCTGAAGAGACGGCTGGGCAGAGCAACCTGCGCCGCTGACACCCAGTCCTTCAGGTTGCTGGGCTCTTAGATACAAAGAGATTCCATTTCCCCAGCAGGCAGCCTGCCAGCCCAGCCTGTCCAGGCAGACCTACCTCAAGGAGAAAGCCAAAACAACCTGGGGGGAGGAGGGAACTCGGCCCAGCCAGAGCCAGCTCCCCACAAGCTGCCATACCCTAGGAGAGGGCGGGCCCCAGAGAGGTTTGGCCAAACTGGGTCCAGCGTGTGGGGGAGACTGTAAAGTAGGACTTGAGAAGACATGCCTCAGGGCTGCCTGTTGGAGAGGTGGGGTCTGGAAGTTTCATTCAACAAAACTCTCGTGCTTCTGTGTAGTGATGGGCCAGGGGCAGGGGGCTGAGAGGGTGGGAGAGCTGGGTGCTGAGCTCACTCTCAGACCACCAGTGAATGTCACCGGAAGCTGCCACCCATGTGAGTCATCGTTACCGTGAGCTGCACGGGCAGCGGCACGGGTGAGTCCCGAGGATGGCACCACCACTAGATCTGGGAGAACTTCTCGAGCTGCCAGTCTGTGGTGTGGGTATGACACCACGGGAGAAAGTGGTTTAACTACCTGCTGTATCCCCTCCGAGAGCAAGTGCTTGCCCTAGGCTTCTAGCCGGCCTTGGTGGAGTTGCAGCACCTCCCTCTTCCCTCCTGGAGGAGCCCTGCGGCTCCCATCTCAGTCCTACTCCTGTGCTCGGGGCAGTTGGCTCTCTCCCTGGTACAGCTTGACCCCTTCACTCTTGTTCACTCCTCCTTGCCACTGAGCTGCCTCCCGCAGGCCTTCCCAGGGGGCTCTGGGGTCAGGGAAGGCCTGCCTGGATGAGCTGTACATTCGGCCCCCATCCACATCCCATGTCCTGTCCTGCCTGAGGACCCAAGAGCCAGAGCCAGAAGCAGTTCAGGCAGAAATGAGACTTCAGAGAAAGAGGCTTTCTGTTCTATAATAGGGGCTTCCTTGCCCTGTTGCTACTGGGACAGGTTACAGCCTGGTCCCCTGGCCTGTGCAGGGCACCCAGTTCTCCGTGCCTTCTCACCAGTCACGTCAAGACTTCCCTTGCTTTCAGCTTTTCCTTGACCCTCTCAGCTCCCTGCCCCATTCCCAAAAACCACAAACCCTCCTAACTGTTCCTCTTTCTCCACATCTCTGGGAGCAGGCAAGGTCCCCCGACTGACCCAGATGTGCAGTTGCCAATTTCTTCCTTTCGCCTGGGATGTGGTCAGATCTGTGTAGATGTGGTCACTCCCTGAGGTCGCTCTCTCAGAGGTCTGTGTGAGACAGGAACTCCAACACCCCTAGCTGGCCCTCCCATTGCCAGAGTCTCCATCGTGTCCTTGTCCTGGGTGGGGGAAGGAGCTCTGTGCCGCCCTGCCCCAGCTCAGGGGCACAAAGAAGCCAGGGTTGCTGGGCAGGACACTCGTCAAACCCAGACCACAGGCACTCAGCACAGCCAGCAGCTCAAGCTCTGTGGCACTGTGGGAAATACAGGAAGCAGAAGGCTTTCCCCCTATGAGAGCTGAGGCTTGTGATAGATAAGCCAGGAGTGTGTTACAGTCACTGCAGTGTGCTTGCTGTGGAAAGACACCTCAAGGAAGGACGTGTCACAAAAAGATTCCTGAGTCTTAACACTTTACTCCGTGCATGTGAGGTGTTGCCGTGGGAGCAGGTCCCATCCCACAAAAAACAGCTCCAGGTCTGCCCAGCAGGTGACACGGCTGACATAGTGAGAGCAGTGTCAGTGGACTCAGGCTGTCCACCATAAGGGAGGAGTCACTGTCTTGCTGGCCTCCGTCTAGACCAAATCACGTGCTTGGCCCTGGGCCTGGACCCACCAGAGTGCTTCTAGAAGTCAGCAGCCAGAGGAGCAAAAGGTTAGGAAGAGCTGGCACTATTCTCAGATGAGAAGATTCGGAAGGCAGGAAAATTCCCTAATAGCAGAGGGACTTTCAAGTGAAGGGTTGGACTGGACTCTGGAGACACGATGGCCCAGAAGAAATAAAATTCAGGAGAGGAAGTTGTGCACAGAGATGGCAGATTCGGAATGATGCATGGTAGCCACCTGAAGCACCATGCTGTGAAGGAATCTGGGCTCAGCAGGAAGAGTGCACAGTAACTTCCTGCTGTCCGCCTCTCGCTATCCACTGTGGTGTGCACTGCCTCTTCCCAGTGGCGGTGCATTTGCCACCTGCTTTAGGATCAGGCTCAGGGGCTGGGGATTTAGCTCAGCAGTACAGCACCTGCCCGGCAAGC